CCATCAGTTATTTGGCCGCGAGTCGCCCCCTACACCACAAAATTGAGTTCTCTTAGATCCTCTAAAGTTTGTACCCAGACCCCTTGAAAGGATGCAAAAAGTAGATCCCTTAAAAGAATGGCCCAGTAGATCCCTGAACTCCTGCGGGAAGGTCCCTAAGCCCGAAACCTGAGACTCAGATGCGGTTTAGGGTTTGGGGTTTAGGGTTTTGGGGTTTTGGGAAGGTCTCGCGGACTGCTACACTTGATCGGACAACTTCCTGAGATGCCTGTCGGGTGATGTTTTTCTTTGAAGGTTCCCTTATAAGCCCCCTGCAAGCCAAAAAGGGTATATTGTGGTCAGTTCTCACCGTGATGGTCCCAACCTTAAACCCTAAACCCTAACCCCTAAACCAGAGGGGCCGCCTATAACAATAACAACCCCAAAAGTGACCATATTTTAGTGAAGTGACCATACAGGGGGTTTCCGAAAACAGGGCTGCCCTTTTTAGGTTTCTTTGCTTTTTTAAGGGGATTCTATTCTGTTCGGGCTAGACAAGGGGTGCCCCCCACTTGGGAAATACCTAAACCCTAAACTCTAAACCCCAAACCCTAAACCCTAAACCCATATGCCCTTCTCTCTTGGGTCTGGTCTAGACGGGCCTCGCAAGCTTTTTGAGATTAGGGTTTGGGGTGTAGGAACTCGTGGGTTTTAAGGCCTTAAGCTCTAAGAATTTTAGGGATGCATCAAGCTTCGGGTTTAGCATTTAGGGTTTAGGGTTTAGGGTTTAGGGTTTAGGGTTTAGGGCTTTACATGCAAGGCTATTTGTGTCGAGCTTAGGGGGTTCTGTAGGTTTCACAGCACGGCCCGATGTGCAGCCTGAGACGGCCTCAGGGTAGTTCTTGGACAGTGGGTTTTGAGATTGAGGGTCCAGGTTTGGGGTTTAGGGTTTGGGGTTTGGGGTTTGGTCTTTAGGAATTGGGGTTTGGGGTTTGGGGTTTGGGGTTTGGGGTTTGGTTAAGTCAAGTCTTTCGGGTGTCGAAAAAAAACATCGCCATTTTTAAGTTCCTATCACCCCATCTCTTTTAAGATCATATAATACAATCTCCGGGACCGTTTTAAAGAGGCACAGAATCAGCTACGACTGTTCAGGGGGACGGGGAGGGAGGGGAGGGGAAGGCTAATGAGGTGCAGCATTATATGCCACAGGCAGCAACTACCCCGTCAATGGGCTACTAACCCTACACCCTACAAGGAGGGCCCCTCTAGTTACAAGTAGAGTTACTACGGCCCTAAATTGGGCGATATATGTCCATGAAATATTGTTATTATAGTAAGGAGGCCCCCTCCCCGACACCCTAAGCCCTAAACCCCAAGCCCTAAACCCTAAACCCAAAACCCTAAACCCTAAACCCTAAACCCTAGAACCCTAGAACCCTAGAACCCTAAACCCTGGATGTTGGGGTGCCGGGGTCCGCTCTAAGGATGCATCATCCACCACAGCGCATCCTGCTGGAGAACGTGATCGGCTTCGCCTCTCGCCTCATGGAGTTCAGCAATTTAGGGGAATTAGGGTTTAGGGTGTAGGGTGTAGGGTTTAGGGTTTAGGGTTTCTAGGGTCTATAGGGCTGTGGGCGTGCCTTCTTCTGGTAATTTCTTGTGTTATGTTCACCATGGTTCACCCTAAGACCCTGCGAATCAACACAGGGGTAATATAGACCCCAACATAGTAGGATCTTCTTTTCATTAGGACCACAATAAAGTTACCCCGAGTATCGTACACCCCCCATATGTCTAAACCCCCGACAGCCTGCAACGTCCCTCAGCACGAGGAGCGTTCCGAATGCCGCCGGCGTCTTGTACAAGACATTTGCCTGCAATGATGCACAGAACCGTAAACCTAGGACCCGAGAGTAGGCCCTTACTCCCTTTTTTTGTTAGAGTGTAGGTTCCCTTATCAACCCCTTTAAACCAAAAAGGGCACCTGCTTCAATCCTAGGTTGCTTTTGAGCACAGGATAACCCTAAACCCCAAATGTGCAGAACGTTGAGGGCTCCGGGCTCCGTAGAGTCTTGCATCTTGGAATGCTCGTTTCTTGGCTTGTCGGTAACGGTATCCTCATGGATGTGTAGGGCTGTCCCCTTTTTGGGGGGTCCCCTTCGATTTCATTCGGGGTATAAAAGGGGCACACCTATGTTGGGAAATACCCATGTGTTCATTCATGGACCTCGGGTGTCTTATCTTCGCGTAGAGTCTGGCAGCGAGCTGGGCAGTCAGCTAGTGGGAGTTAGTCGCTTTGCCGTGAGGGAAGCGAATGCAAAAAACATGGTTAGTGAGCTATGTTCCCTTCGCTCCGAAAATCCTTAACCTCTTGAGAATTCACCAGCTGAAGTCTTGCTCTTGGCAGAATTTGGCTTCTGAAGAGCATTGCTGCTAGGAGAAATGAAAGCTTTGTTTCGTCACCAAGGGCTTTTGGATTATCTGCCATACACTACAATGTGCCTAAGGACTCCCAATAAAAATAGTAATCCCTATTTTGCCCTTATATGGGGTAATGTTTTCTGTTGGGGAGGGGATTCTTAAGCACAGTTAGTAGTACAGATGCAATGCAAAGTGGCTGCCACTCAGGCTCGAGAAAGCAAACTCCCAAGCCCTAAGTTAAAACGCCCCAAACACTCAACCCTAAAGCTATCAACCTCGTATACCATAAACCCCAAAAAACCCATAAATCCTATAACCCCTACAAACCCCTAGACTCCTAAATCCTAAATCCTAGTTGAACCCCATAAATCCTATAACCTCTACAAACCCCGAGACTCCTAAACCCTAAATCCTAAATCCTAAACCCTAAATCCTAAACCCTAAATCCTAAACCCTTAATCCTAAACCCTTAATCCTAAACCCTAAATCCTAAACCCTAAATCCTAAACCCTAAATCCTAAACCCCAGAAGCCATGCTTCGGGTCTGGAGAGCTTCGGGACTGCAGCTGGTCGCCTTGGCCAAGACAGAGCTGGAGGACTTATAGGTTTTAGGGTTATAGGGTTTAGGGTTGAGGGTTTAGGGTTTAGGGTTTAGGGCCAAGACGGAGCTGGAGGACGCAGCGTGCGGAGAGATAAAGGGCGACGTGTCGACTCTTGCGGACCAAATGAAGGTTGTCGGCCTCATAGTAGTTTTGTGGTTCATATACCTTAATCGGGAATATGGTAGTAATTATAAGGTATGTGACCCCGATTTTTGTGTTTCAGATACCTTAATGGGGATTATGTTAGTACCTATAGGGCATATGACCCCGATTTTTGGATTCGTGTGGTCTCCAAGGACCTTGAAGTGGCTGTTGCGCAAGCAGTTTGGCTTTCCCATATGCATTCAGAGGCTCCTGCGCGACGGAGAGTGCCTGGAGGATTCCGAACACCTAGATGGAGATCTCGACTTGCAGCTGGTTTTGCTGGCAATCTTGGGTGCGGAGGAGAGGCAAGAAGCCTGCAAGCCTCGAAAAAGCGCATAAGCCCTGGCAACCCCTAAACCCTAAACCCTAAACCCCAAACCCTAAACCCTAAACCCTAAACCCTAAACCCTAAACCCTGAACCCTAAACCCTAAACCCTAAACCCTAAACCCCGAGAAGAGGCAAGAAGCTGCCGAAGAGCTGGTGATGCACGCCGCCTTTCACAACCATGTGGAAGTCGCGCGTTCTCTCTTGCAAGCCGGGGTCGATGTCGACTCCCAGATTGAAGACCACTTCGGCCGGACAGCCTTGTATCTTGGGTTGAGTGTGTTTAGGGTTTAGGGTTTAGGGTTTTGGGTGTCGGCTTATGCGAAGCAAACCTCGGGGAATCTTAAACACTTTTAGCACCCAAGAGTTGGGCTTTTGTTTCCTACTTGGAGGTGCATGGGTGCTGCTAAGTAGGGTTATAAGTAGGGGAATTCTGTTACAACCTTAGGGTACTTCTGACGCTAAGTACCCATGAACCTTCAGGTCGATAAGTCGGCCCAGGTACGTGGCTGCAGACCAAGGCCACATAGAGATGGTGAGCTCCTTGGGACTACATAGACTCTCTGAATGTTGTTCGGTTATGGGGGGGGGGTTCCTCTGACAGTGCTGGAGCTTTGATTCAAGGAGGACCGGAATTCTCGGAGCTGCGCCAAATAATGAAGCTGAGAATGGGCATCAGATATTCAGATCAACTACAGTCCCCTGCGGACTCGCCATAAACTTCAGAGGGATGATTGAGTACCCTCCACCCTACATCCTAAACCCTACACTCTCAACCCTAAACCCTAAGTCCTAAACCCTAAGCCCTAAACCCTAAACCCCAAACCCTAAACCCCAAACCCTAAACCCTAAACCCTAGGAGTCCACAAGGATTCTTGCTGGAAGCCGCCGCTGACAAGGACACGCAGGACCGGCCGGGTTGCGCAGCCCTACATCGCGCAGCAGAGAAACTTCGCAGCTGAGTGAGTAGGGTTTAGGGTTTAGGGTTCAGGGTTTAGGGTTTAGGGTTTAGGGTTTAGGGTTTAGGGTTTAGGGTTTAGGGTTTAGGGTTTAGGGTTTAGGGTTTATGAACTCAGCAACTAAGGAAAGGTCATGTCCAGGTTCTTCGCTCGCTTCTCGATGCCGGTGCCTTGTGGGTGCCGGAGTAGGTGACCCTAAACCCTAAACCCTAAACCCTAAACCCTAAACCCTAAACCCTAAACCCTAAACCCTAAACCCTAAACCCTAAACCCTAAACCCTAAACCCTAAACCCTAAACCCTAAACCCTAAACCCTAAACCCTAAACCCAACCCCTTGTATACATGTTTTTTTCTGTTCTCGGTCTTGGAAATCTAAGCCCGAAACCCTGCACCAGGGTAGCCTTTCTCACCCTGGGTTTAGGGTTTAGGGTTTAGGGTTTAGGGTTTAGGGTTTAGGGTTTAGGGTTTATGGTTTACTCAATGAGGTGCTGCAAGAGACGTGCAGAACCGATTCGGCGACACACCCCTCCACTGTGCGGCGAGCCAAGGACACGTTGAGGTGGTGCAA